ACCAGACTATGTTGTGAGCATTAGATACTATTAGGTGTACACCTCTCATGTTTCAGTTATCTTTCTCTGGCATCATTTGCTTCAAGAGTTGTTTGCAGAGCTTGGTTTTTTAAAATGAATCAGCTCACACCTACATCCCTGACAGTGGTCTGGTCATCTGTGGATGGACAGCAGTGTTTATAAAAATAAATCTCCTATTCTAGAGTTTAATGTTTACCAAATCACATAGATGCCTGAGGTTTTTAGCATTTCTATTATTGGGGCTTTTTAAAAAAGACAAAATACGTTAGCAACAAAGATTATTATTATTGTTAATGTCAATTTAAAATACTCACATAATATATTCTCTTACCGTGGATAATATCTGAATTTCTGATTTTGTAATCATTAAATAATTATAATACACAAAAAAAGTAGACACATATAGTTATAGACTGTTACTTATAGACTAATCAATATAATAATAGAATTATACTAACAAATCAAGTTGTAAATAGTAGAAGCTCATTATTTCATTGTGAAGTAACGTCTTATATGTCTGTTGTGAAATAAAGTGATTAATTAATTATTAGTTGAATATGAAGTAAGAGCTAATAGATGTATTATAAACTATTGGTTTATTAAGTGTTTCTCCTCTCTCTTTAATCCCATTTGTATCAGAATAGCAGATTGCTCAATCCTGCTGTTATACACATTGTGCTCTAGATGGCAGTAGCCTTCCGACACAGACCACTACAGAATCAATGAACATGAATATTCAACAGTGGAGTAACACTAATCTATTGACAAACAGCTAAATTAGACCTTTTTTTCTATTTTTCTTTTTTAATCCTTACTTGCAAGTAAAGTAACTGAAATGGACACTCAGACACAGCAGTAAACAGTGGTGGACAGACTGAAACAGGATGAACACTAATGAATAAACAATATGAAGCTGCTTCAACAAAACTCAAAGACACTGTTTATTACCATACTTGATAATGTACCCTAAAAAGGAGGTGGACCACAGATGAAATCCACATTTCTTGCCCTCAACATAGAGATGATTCAGTAATAATCTTGCTAAGACAGACGTGACTGATGTGTGTAGGGATATGTGGAAAGTATCATCACTGTAGGCTATTACAAATTTACCAAACATATCTTGAAGAATGTCATTAATGAAGGCTTGGAAAACAAAAGGAGCATTTGACAGGCCAAGCAGCATGAATAAATACTCCTAGTGCCTTTTAGTGGTGATGAAGTTTTCTACTCATCGACCTCTTTGATTCTCTTTGATTCTAACAAGGTTGTATGCACTGTGAAGGTCTAACCAGGGAAGTCCTAGAATAACTGAGTATTCTGACAAGTTTAGCATGAAAAAGCAAATTTATGGAGACCACTTGTATACATGGTGAGTGGCTTGGTGAGTGTGTCGTTATTCCCTTATCCAATTGGATCCCCATCCATGGTGGATGGACAAAGAGAGGAGAGAGGAAGTCCTACTGATACCTCAACACTGGTCTGGTGAATCATCAAAATTATCCAGGTTGCTAATGGGAAAATCACTAGTAACAGGAGGTGGAGAAACTGATGATTGGTGGCTACTTCCCTAGACTCACCAGTATTCAAAATCTGTAAATGAGTAGTAATGTCCTTCAGGTTGTTGGCAATCAAGGCCAACTGTTACTGTTGCTCGCTCTGTTGTGTAAGAGTACCTACAGATTGACTAATAGATAATTGGTGGTGTTGACTTAATATAGTGCCTTGGTTACTTGCTGCTGACAAGATCTCCTTGATAGCTGATGTCTGCATTCTGGTGAAGTATTCTGATAACACTGGGTTGACTAACCAGACATTTGAAGATATAAAATAAATGGGAATATTTATTAAAAGAAGAATTCACCAAAGGAACAGGGTTTACACCAGACCAGGTCAAAAACCAGAGCAGCAAAACAAGATACATGGGCTCAGGAAAAAGTTGAAGTAGAGAAACAAGCAAGGGTCGAAACCACAAAGCCAAAAAAACAGGTAAAACTGATCCAAAAGGGTTAATCCGATAAATGACAATAAGACACAAAACAAGGTTATAATTTTAATTATTTATTTACCTTGCATTAAATACATCACTAAGCATGATTGTAATTGGAAAATTGTAATCTGGACTTTATTCTACACAATTATTCATACAATTTAATGTATTAAATGATAATTCTATTAAGCACTGATTAATATATGAATACATATATTGTGCTGAGCAAAAAAATAAATGCCAGTTGCACACCAAACCTCTAAAGAGTGACATGGAAATGTTTGACTTTCTCCTTTGCCTTCCTGATCTCACATAGCTCAACAGAAAGAAGTGTGCACTGTAAACAGACATTGGACTTTCCAGATTAACACAATACAGCATGTTCACAGGTTTTCTTCACTTTTGTATTGAGATCAATGAGAGCACATTTCTCACTAATATTGTACACTTCCCAGCTGTTTGACTACAAAAAATAAATAAGCCGATATATCCTCTAGATGGCAGTATACTGTTAAAAATAAAGGCACTGAGAAGGGTTCTTTGGCACAATGCCATAGAAGAAAAAAAAACCTGATGGTTCTTCAAAGGACTATTTTTGTAAATTAAGAATCTAAATATAAAAATAAATAAATAAATAATAAAAATATATATATATATATATATATATATATATATATATATATATATATATATATATACTAGAACAATACGTTTAAGCTACGTTTCCTGTAGAAACCTTTAGTTTTTTAAAAAAATGTAGAAATATTTGAGCTCAGACTTTCTCACACATGATGACAACCCATTTAGTGTTATCAACCTAGAAAAATACCTTTAATGATAATGATAATATACAATGACATAAAAAAGCTGATTTGAAAGTGCATCAGTTCTACTGAATGTGTGCATTTACAGACAGCAGCGTCATAAGTGTGCACTGTACTGGTCTGAAAATTATCATCTGAGAATATGAAATTATATGGAGGTTCCTAAAGCTGAATCCAGTGCTGAGTGGACATTCATGCTAAATGTTGGTTGGCATGTCACCCACCCAAAGACTTATAACGTGCTCATAACATAACCTTATATTTTGCTGTCTGGCTGCTTCATCATTAAACCCATGAGTAACCTGTAGGGAGGGGAGCCTATTTTTCATGACCTTAAATATTAACATAATATTAATTTTTAAAAATAATATAGCAGTTAATGCACTTTCAAAAATTGAGGACTTAAATTATTTAATTCAATTAAGTAAATTAAATTTAATTTTACACAAAATGAAACCACCGAAGGGATGTGGTGTATTTATTATTATTATTTATTTTATTTTATTATTTTTTTTTGGGGTTAAATTGGGTGTCTGGAGAAGTGAAGTCTTCCCCTCCGTTCCGTCAACGAGAGGAGGATAAACTTCTGGTTTTAGGGTTTGCTTCGAAATGGGCACTCACCTACAGCATAGAGATGAGATGTCCAATCCGGGTCACGGCACCACTTGAAGAATCCAAACCCTCACTTTACCAGGGGAACCCGTCTGTTGTCTGGAGAAGTGAAGTTTATTCGTTTGCGTGCAGATTCCAGACATCCAGCCAGCCAGCCCGTAAGACATTGGACTGACACAGTTTTATACTGATGCCAAGATTAGGCCCAGCTTATACAGGACAAGTAACAGGTGTGACAAACATGACCATGTAGGGATAAACACAAAATAGGCATCCTACAATACAACTTCAGCGCATTCACACACAATACAGAATGTATAACATAGCACATTGCACAATACATTCCTTCAATACTATTAGATATACACCTCTCATGTTTCAGTTATCTTTATCTGGCATCGTTTGCTTCAAGTTTTTTTTGCAAAGCTTGTTTGTTTTTTAAACCAGTCAGTTTACACCTACATCCTTGACAATGGTCTGGTCTTCTGTGGATGGACAGCAGTGTTTATAAAAATAAATCTCCTATTCTAGAGTTTAAGGTTTACCAAATCACTTAGATGCCTGAAGTTTTAAGAATTCTTTTTATTGGGACTGAAAAAAGACACATTAAGTTAGCAACAGAGATTATTGTTATTTTTTATATGTAATTTTGAAATAATCACATAATATATTCTCTTACAGTGGGTAATATCTGAATTTCTGATTTTGTCATCATTAAATATTTATAATTCAGAAGAAAGTAGACACACACACACACATGCGTATATATATATATATATATATATATATATATATATATATATATATATATATATACATAGTGATAAACTGTATATATACTTATAACTATACTTATAAGCTAATCAAAATAATAATATAATTATATTTACAAATCATGTTGTAAACTGGAGGAGCTCATTACTTCATTGTGAAGTAATGGCTTTTATGTCTCTAAATAAATGATTAATTTATTATTAGTTAAATTTGAAGTAAGAGCTAATAGATGTATTATGAACTATTGTTTTATTAAGTGTTTCTCCTCTCTCTTTGATCACATTATACATAGATAACAGCAGATTGCACAGTGCTGCTGTTCCACACATTGTGTTCTAGATGGCAGTAGAGTCATTCTGACCCAGAACACTACAGAATCAATGAACATGAATATTCAACAGTGCAGTCACACATATCTATTAACTAACAGCTAAACTGGATCTCTTTTTTATTTTTTTTTATTTTTTAATCCATACTTGCAAGAAAAGTAACTGAAATGGACACTTATACACAGCAGTAAACAGGATAAACACTAATGAATAAACAACATGAAGCTGCTTCAACAAAACTTATGTAACTGCAGTGGATTTTATTATAAGCATTTAAAAGCATTTTAATTGCCACCTTGCTGATACATACTTTACACATCACCATACTGAGAGATTTTCAGCTGTGTCTTTCACAGAGTCAAAAAGGAAGTGGGCAGGTTATTAGTTTCTGTTTTAGATGCAGCTGAGGACACAGCACAGTCAGAGAATCACACAGAGGCAGAGACAGGGTGTAACCTTCAATACCTCAGTTTCTATTTAAGATGTACTTGAAGATACAGCGCAGTCACAGAGTCATACAGAGTTAAAGTGTATGTCTCAGGAGCTCTGATATCTGTCTGAGCTGGTGTTTGTCTGTGAACCTGAGCTCAGAATGAAGATCCTCCTCATCTTCCCCCTCTTCCTGATTTCAGGTAAGGAGATGCTCTTCTAAATAATCATCACTATCAGCAGAGTCAAATGAAGCCTTTACTCAGATGGACATTTGTCCTCTTTTAGTAGGTGGAGGAGAATCAGAGGGAGTGACAGGATATTCAGGAGGAGGAGTCCTCATCAAGTGTACATATGAGAGACAATACACATCAAACCAGAAATATTTCTGTAAAGGTTCATGGCTCTGTATGTCTAAGCAAATTTGGGCAGACACTAAAAATAAGTGGATAAATAGTGGAAGATTCTCACTGTTTGATGACACCAGAGCTGCAGAGTTCTGGGTGTTGATCAGAGAGCTCACTGTAGAGGATTCTGGACTGTACCAGTGTGGAGTTGAGAAAAAAGGTCTGCCTTTAGACGTCTACACACCAGTGGAACTGAAGGTACAGGAAGGTAAGTTTTTCCCACAAATGAACCTGTTTATTTTCTTAAACATCCAGCATCATTAGCATCAGCTTCAGTGAGAGTGAATGTACAGACTCCCATAAAGAACAAAGAGCAGAAACTGTGTTCCCTGCAGCACTGTACACAAACACATACTTATATTAACACTATTATTACAAACACAGTCTATTCAAAGAATCTTTATCAGACCTTCTCATCTCTGATTGGGTGAATCCTCTTAAACCTCAGCTGCGAAAATGTGTTTATAAACAGTAGTTGTTCATATGTGATGATGACTGTGTGATTATCAGATTGTGTTTACAGTGCGTAGCATTTGTTAAATGTACGTTGTGAGACCTTCACTATGATGTTAGCAGATCTCGTCTACAATTCAAAATTATTTTGTCTATTTCTATCAGCTCTGAATATGGACTTCCTCTGAATTCATGTGTTAAGCTGTAGTGGGACTATAAACAAACTTCCTGACTCAACATCCTTTTACTCATAAATATAATCTGAGAGTACTTTCAGTCAAAAGGTGTGACGTCCAGAGAAGTGACAGAATATGCAGTGAGTTCAGTGATATTGTGTATAAACTGTGAAGGTGATTATTTATAATTAACATATCCAGACCATGAGAAGAGCATCAGGGTGACTGGCCATGTAGGAGGAAGCGTGAACATCAGCTACAAATACCCAAAATCCCACAGCAGTGACCCCAAGTTTCTCTGTAGGAGAGTGGGCACTGCTGACTGTAGTTATGAAACATCTGTTAAAGAGAGCAGAAGATGGATAAAAGAGGGAAAACTGTATCTACATGATGATGGAAAGCAGATCTTCACTGTGAACATTAACAATCTCACTGAGGGAGATTCTGGTGAATACTGGTGTGGAGCTGAATCAGACTGGACATCTGACCATGGATACAAGGATTTATATCACACAGATCAACCTCAGAGTTACTGGTGAGTAGATATGACTTAAGTTTATCTGTTTACTGTCAGAAATTGTCTTCTATATATTTATGGAGTTTGGAAGTTAGAAGTATACAGCATTATAGTTATTCAGCTTGTTTAATCAGTTGATTGGTTTTCAAAACAACTGAAAACCTGCAGCCAGGTCAGCCACTTGAGGGTAAGACTGGACACCCCTGACATAAGGAGGCTGTGATAACATGAATGATTATTGTAGAGGTGAAAGAGGTTATAGTATGTTATGTAGAACATTATTTGTTCTGTATAAAGAGATTTGGGTTATCTAATGACAATATAAGATGACAAATCTAGAAAAGCTTTTATTTTCCTTTTTACTTCATCTCCATTAACAAAACCAGGAACAGCATCACCCTCAACATCACCATCAAGCCCCACTGCACAGACCATAGAAACAAATGCCTCTACAACAACTACAATGAAATCCTCATTTAAGACTTCAACAGGTATAATATTCATATTGTATATATCTTGCGAAACTCTAGTCAGTCAGTAATAATGTAATGTAATGTAATAATGATAATAAAGGAGCCTGACCTTTACTTTCTTTCTGCAGAAATTCTACCACAGTCATCGACATACATCAGTGCACTGACCACAAAACCAACCACATCCTCAACGCCTAAGACCAAACCGTCTTCTTTGTCAGGTGATTACACTTCATGTACAAGCAAAGAACATCTGCTCTTCTATTGTTAGTCTGATCACTTCAGAATGATCAGATTATAATCTGTGACTGAGTTATGATTCTGTTTCTCCATCACCACTATTTCCAGTTTCCTATGTGGTCTCTGGTGTGTCTGTGATTGTGTTGCTGCTTCTGATTGGACTCTTATTCTTCCTAGTCACTCTTAGAAAGAGAGGCAAGACTCAAGGTACCATCTCACACAGAAACATACACATATATAAAATGCTTATGACTTATGCACACATAGTTATTTGGACTATTAATTTCACTATAGAAAATTACCAAAGGAAACAATGTTGAGTAAAGATGTGGTGTTGGGCTCATTTATGACAAATTATGACAGTGGCTGGACATGTTATTAGTTTTCTTAAGACACTTCACATGGATTTTTTTTATATCTACATGTTCAGATAAATGGATCATTAAACACATTTATTAGGCCCCAGTGGACTAACAGTGATGGACAGATGCTGCCCTCTTCTGGCTATAAATGATCATGCATCAAAAGAAATAGAGCAACAACAACAACGTTTTGGGGGCAGTTGTACAGCCTGTTTATTTTTCAAGTTATGAACTTTAATATTGATCTAGCAAAAATTGACAAAACTGAGCTAAACTTGATATTGCGGTAGTTTTATGGCTCAGTCTGATTTGGTCAGACTCTGAAGATTGGAATATTGACATAAATGGATCCTTAACCAAATTTATTAGGCACCAGTGGCCTAACAGATATAAGGAGATGCTGCCCTCTTCTGGCTATAAATGATCATGCATCAATAAACTGTGAACGCATTTTCAGGGCAATTGTACAGCCTGTTTATCTTTTAAGTAATTGATATTGTATACATTGGTTCTCCTCAGACCCAGGCACAACACAAGGCCAATCCTTCAAAGGATTCTCAGCTGTCCACAGGGTGAGTGAAGATCCATTTCAAAAAAGGCTCCCAGAAAACAACATTTCTACCAATGACATGTTTACAAATGAATAATCAAAGACTGAAAACTGAAACTACCTGACTTCACATCAGTCTAACTGCTCCACCAGGAGTAAACTAGTGTAGTTCACTTCAAAAACACTCTAACTTTGTCATTGTTATTATTTATATCTCTGCTCTTAGGTTTTCCATCTTTTCAATAACTATGAAGAGATTAAAGACAGTAGACACCTTCCTACATCAGATGCTGGAGTCTTCACAATCTACTCTACTTCTCAACTACCCATAAACCCCTCAGAACCTTCTCAAACTGACTATGAAAATGTCCAGTTACCCACAAACCCCTCAGAACCTTCTCAAACTGACTATGAAAACGTCCAGTTACCCACAAACCCCACAGAACCTTCTCAAACTGATTATGACAAAAGGCCAGTTACCCACAAACCCCTCAGAACCTTCTCAAACTGATTATGAAAATGTTCAGTTACCCTCAAACTCTGATATATTAAATCTTGTTTATTCTCCTGCTCAGTCACCATCAAACTCTCCTGATCAGGTCACCTGCTCCACAGCTCAGTTACCCACAATTCTCTCTGATTTCTCAGCAAGTGGCACTCAGCAAACAGCTGGAACTTCTACAGAAGGCCTAACATACGTAACAGTGAATTTCAGGAAGAAGCTAGGCAGATCTAACGATGCTGTTACCAGAGTAGCCTTTAGTAACGATGGGGACTCATGTGATTATGCTACAGTCAAACATTAGCAGAAGCAGCTAAGTTTTCAATTTAATCTTGTATGTTTATGTATTTCCACCAAAATGAGATCTTATATTTTCCTTTCACACAAAAAAGGATAATATTTAATGTGAAAGGTTTTATAAATCGTGATTATAGGTGACCAGTTAACCTTTGCCTTTGTTTGGAATAATTAAAAATGAGGTTCTCTGAGGTTTGTAATCCGTTTGATAAATACAGTTTTTTCGTGTGTTTTTTTGTTTTATATATATAGTATAAACATAGTAAATTTAAGTATATTTAAGTAAATATAAAAATCAACTATAGTTTAACTATGCACTCATTATGTATTTTTACATCAAACACAAAGCATATAATTGAATAAATAAATGAAAGTTCTGTTAATTATGTACAAGACTGATTAAGATTGGACTTGTTTACAGTTCTTTGGAGTTCAAAGGCTTATTAATGTTAAATAATTAACTTGTACTGTATTTTAATATGGTTACATGTCCATGCATCAGTTCAAATCCCATTATAATCTTGAAATCAGTCTGGTAGACTGATTTTCAGAATCAGTCTACCAGATCCCTCCACTTATCAATCAGAATCAGTTTACCAGACTACCTCACTCGGCAATCAGATTCAGTCTACCAGACTCCTCCACTAATCAATCAGATTCAGTCTACCAGATCCCTCCACTAACCAATCAGATTCAGTCTACCAGATCCCTCCACTTACCAATCAGAATCAGTCTACCAGATCCCTCCACTTACCAATCAGAATCAGTTTGCCAGACTCCCCCAGTAATCATTCAGTCTACAAGACTTCTCCACTCACCAGTCAGATGCAGTCTACCAGATCCCTCCACTAACCAATCAGATTCAGTCTACCAGACTCCTCCACTCACCAATCAGAATTAGTTTACCAGACTCCTCCACTAACCAATCAAAATCAGTCTACCAGACTCCCCCAGTAATCAGTCATTCAGTCTACTAGACTCCTCACCAATGAGATCCAGTCTTTCAGAGTCTGAAGACCAGCACAGTTTAATTGACTAGAGTCTGAAGAATCAAGCCTACCATGTTAAATAACAGAGTGCATTTTGAAAATATGACGATAAATATTTATTAAATGGACATTTAATCAAAAATGTTAACATTATGTATAGAACAACGGAAGTTTAGTATTCTGAACTGAACAAATTTGTAAGCTGTATGTCACAATGTTTGATGTCAATGAAGCAAACTAAAGCAAAAATGTACTGTGTGACTTAACCTGTCATTAGGTCACAGCAAAAGAACTGAGCATCACAAGCTTCATTATATGGGATTTCACAACAGAGTAGCTGCAGAAACCCAGGATCACTATATGCAATGCCAGGTGTCGGCTGGAGTGGAGTAAAGCACACTGCCACTGGACCCTGCAGCAGTGAAAACATGTTCTCTGGAGTGATTAATCACCTCACTATCTGGCAGTCTGATGGATGTAACTGGGTTCGGCGAATGCCAGGCGAACACTACCTATCAGAATACATAGTGCCTACACTAAAGTTTGGTGGAGGAGGGATAATGGGATGGGGCTGTTGTTTAGGGTTTGCACCCCTTAGTTCCACTGAAGGTAAATCTTAGTGCTTCAGCAGACAAAGACATTTTGGACAAATGTATGTTTCCAGCTTTGTGGGAACAGTTTGGGGAAGAGCCTTTCCTGCTCCAGCATGATTGAGCCCCTGTGCACAAAGCAAGCTCCATAAAGACATGATTTGACCAGTTTGTTGTGGAGGAACTCCAGTGTCCAGCACAGAGCCCTGACCTCACCCCCACTGAATACCTTTGGGATGAACTGGAACATTAATTGTGAGTCAGGCCCACTCATCCAACATTAGTGTCTGACCTCACAAATGCTCTTTTGACTGAATGAGCACAAATTCCCAAAGACACACTCCAACATCTTATAGAAAGCTTTCTAGAATGGTGGAGGCTGTCAGAGCCGTAAAGGGGGGTAACTCCACAGTAATGGCCATAGTTTTCAAAGGGGACGTCCAACAAACTCATATATGTGTGATTTATTTGTCTCCATATTATTTTGGCCACATAGCTTATCAAGTAATAATTAGACACTTAATGTAATTTATCAAAAATATTCATATGAAAAAAACAAATCATTTTGCATGACACCATCATTCACATCACAGATATGCAGCTTAAAATTTCAGCACCTCTAGTTTAAAAACTCCTTTCTGCACCTGTGCTTTATAAAAGTGATAGTTTATGGTATTTCTATTAGCTGTTATATAATAATTGACTAATCATTAACTAATTAAATATTTAGCATTTTCTTTGTCTGGTGGCACCCACTTAAGGTTTTGTTTGCAGTGAATGTTTTAAAAAACAATCAACAATCATCAATTAAAATTTTGACATATATTAACATATTGTTGATTTTTAATCATAACCATATCCCCAAAATTTGACATTTTCAGAGAAGAAAAAAAGTCTCAAATTTCAGTGGAAGTTAAACCATTTCTGTTGATCCATCCATCATGAAACTCTCACAATGTAAAGAGCAGCTGGTGTTTTACAAATTACATCAAAAAATTAAATAATGGAAAAATGGAGATACAAGGTCCGGCAGCAACATACATGTAAAGTACCGTGTATATATTAAATGATGATGAATAACTCTTAATACCTGATTATTAGTCAATTGTGAAGTAAGAGCTAATAGATGTCTTATTAACTATTGTTATTATGAAGTGATTAATCTCTCTCTTTAATCACATTTGTATTACATAGAGAACACAGCAAAGATTACTCAGTGCTGGTGTTACACTCATTGTGCTCTAGATGGCAGTAGAATCCTTCTGACACAGACCAGTAAAGAAACAATGACATGAATATGAATATTCAACAGTGGAGTCATACATATTCATTCACTAACAGCTAAACTGGAGTCATCAGAGGACAATTTTACTGAACAAATGCAAAGTGATTCTAATAAGCTTCTTTATGAGAAATAACACTAGACAACAAGAAGAGATGAGAGTTCAGCTGCAGATGAACATGAACTTTATTATCTCAGCAAATCTGAGCACGATGTGTGACTTTATTGAGATCTCTACTTAAACTCAGTGGGACACAAAAGATTACTGAGGTCTTTTTCTGAGGAGAAACATCTGAGCAGCAGGAGAGATTTAGACTAAGCTTTTGTTTGTTTTTCCATCTAATCTCATTGTTCTGCAGGAGAAAATCCAAGATATTGAGGAGATCTTTTTTTGTTCATATCATATTTGCAAGCAGTATGAATACAAACACTCATATACCTCAGTACAGTTAAACAGTAGTGTAGACACGGCAACTGGCTAAACGCTAATGAATAAAAACACGAAGCTGCTTCAACACAACTCAAAAATACTGTTTACCTTAATGCAGTGAATTTCACTGAAAGCATTTAAAAGCATTTTGCAATAATAATAATAATAATAATAATAATAATAATAATAATACTGTGATCATACATATCTTACATATCATCTTGCTGAGAGGTTCTCAGCTCTCTATTTCATGCTGTCAATAAAGGAAGTGGGCAAGACATCAGTTTCTATTTAAGACGCAGATGAAGGTGCAGCACAGTCACAGAATCTCACAGAGACAAAGAACAACTTGCAGGGCCTCTGATATCTGTCTGAGCTGGTGTTGATCTGAGAGCCTGAACTCAGAATGAAGATCCTCCTCATCTTCACCCTCTTCCTGATTTCAAGTAAGGAGATGCTCTTCTAAATAATCATCACTATCAGCAGAGTCAAATGAAGCCTTTATTCAGATGGACATTTGTCCTCTTTTAGTAGGTGGAGGAGAATCAGAGAGAGTGACAGGATATTCAGGAGGAGGAGTCCTCATCAAGTGTACATACGACACAGGATACACATCAAACCCAAAATACCTCTGTACAGGTTTATGGCCCTGCATGACGAACCCAATTTGGACAGACGCTAAAAATGAGTGGATAAATAGAGGAAGATTCTCACTGTTTGATGACACCAGAGCTGCACAGTTCTGGGTGTTGATCAGGGAGCTCACTGTAGAGGATTCTGGAACGTACAAGTGTGAAGTTGATAAATTTGGCATTGATATCTACACACCAGTGGAACTGAATGTAGAGGAAGGTGAGTGTCTCCCACCACTGCATTTGTTTATTATCCTAAATTTGCAACATCAATTAGCCTCAGCTAAAGTGAGAATTAAGGCAGAAACCAACACCAGCTCATTTTAACAGTATCAAAGACTCGCTCTCTTTGGAGACTCTTTATCAGACCTTCTCATCTCTGATTGGGTGAATCCTCTTCAACCCACACACACACACACACACACACACACACACATCATCTAAACCGCTTATCCTTCTAGGTCGTGGTGGGGTGCTGGAGCCTATCCCAGCTGTCATTGGGCGAAGGCAGGATACACGCTGGACAGGTCGCCAGTCCATCGCAGGGCAGATAGACAGACGTACACATTCACACACACACTCACACCGAGGGGCAATTTAGCATGTCCAATCAGCCTGACTGCATGTTTTTGGACTGTGGGAGGAAACCGGAGTACCCGGAGGAAACCCACGGAGACACAGGGAGAACAGGCAAACTCCACACAGAAAGGACCCTGGTCATCCGGCCAGAAATCGAAACCAGGCCCTTCTTGCTGTGAAGTGACAGCGCTACCCACTGTGCCACCGTGC